CAAGTTTCTAGTAGTAATCATAGTTATATAGATGAACATTTTGATCTTAAAAATTAAAATGGTGATTGGGTGGTGGTGAATTGGGAGGCATTGTAATGAATGATGTATACATATTTCCCCCTTAAATGTGAGCAAATATTAGTGGATGGTGGGTGTATTAGTTAAGGCTATGTTCTGTTTCTCCCTAAGGCTGAGAACTTTGCTAGTTTTCTAATTTGCTCTTATTTTAACTAAGCTTTAGTTTATGAATTAGATATGTTTTCTGAACTTTCTAGTCTTCATTTGAATCTCACTTGTTAGGCCACAAAATTTTATATACAAGGTGAAGAATATAAAGAATTAGTTAAAATACGCGGTTTGCCTTCAAATAGTAATTATAGATTTATAGTTCCATGTATTACATAAATAAAGAAAGGAAAATGGCTAATTGGCTAAAGTAAATTGTCTGTTTCAGAGCTGACATATAACATGATAGTTTCATCCTTAAGAAGTTCATCTTACATGGTACTTTCATTTTTAATAAGATTATCTTACTTGACAAAAAAAAAAAAAAAAAAAAAGAAAAAAAAGAAAGAAAAAAAACAAGAAAAGAAAAGTAGTTTCTTTTTCAGTCATTTAATAGAAAGACTACTCATGTAGTAGGGTTTTATTTATTTATTTATTTATTTATTTATTTAAATGGTAAGGAGGACCCTACCTCAGCCCTCACGGTTTTCTTTACCCTCATGTAGTTAAGTTATGGTAAATACAGTAATCATTAATGCTATACTAATCGTCTTAATAAGAAAGAAGATGTCACAAATTACCATTTACAAAAAGTAAGGCTTGTTTTCGGTAGTGGTATAATGAGTAAGTCCAAGGTTGTAGGAAATTCTGCTTACAGTAATTCTCTCGCAGTTTTGAAAGGGAGGCCTATGGATAGACGTCCCTCCTCCCCCCTAACATATTTTAAACCTCCTGAGCTAGAATCGAGAAATGTCAGGATTGTTTATCTTCATAAGTTTTTAACCTGTTTTGTAATTGTTAACCATATTAACAGAAGTATATCTAATGCTCAGATTGGAGTGCTTGAGGACACAAGAAATCGGACGCTTCATGGCATTTTACGTGTTCAAAGCTGTTTCAGAGGGTACAAGGCTCGGTGCCTTGTGAAAGAAACTGAAAGAGGAATTTGCACACTTCAGTCATGTAATGTTTCTCCTTGGACTTATTTGTCAACTATCTTTATTAGCATGAAATTGGAGATGTTCTGTTATAACTGTTCACATTTTATGTTTATGAGTCTATTTGGAAGCCGAGGAAAATGAGACAATATGAGTATATGACTATACTTTGAATTGTTGAACACATCCGGAATTGATGAATGCATTATTTTGATTGTTTTGGCAGTCATTCGCGGTGAGAAAACCAGGATGGAATTTGCAGTCTTACTTAGGAGACAGAGAGCTGCCATAACTATACAGAAACAGATAAAGGGTCAGATTACCAGAAAACAATTCTTGGAAGCAACTGATGCATCGATAGTGATACAATCAGGTAAATTCAGTCCTGATTGGTTTAACTTTTTTAAAATATAGTTTAAGTGGACCATGTAGTGTAGGTAATTTGCCTCTTCTTTTACCCTTCTACTGAGTGGTGGCTGGTAGAAATTCAGATGGTAAGAAAAAGTTACACTCTCCATCCCATAATAATTGCAACACTAGGCATTGCACAAAGTTTTAGAAAAATTATCGGGCATAGGGAGAATTTACAATATACTTCCAAGTAATAAAAAAAAAAAGAGGTTGGTTGGAGAGAAATAATAGTATAGTAGTGGTTCCTTACCAAATATAGCAGGCTTTCAGTTATTATGAAACGGACCTTAAAAGAAGTGTTGCGATTATTACGAAATGTAGGGAGTGATGCAAAGCTATGATGGGTGTTCTGTGATACTTCTATATTCAACCTTTAATGTCTTGGTTATCCTTTTGTTTCTAAATGTATAAAAATTGAGATGTATCTTTTTGGCCAATTGCTACTTTTGATTTATGCTCTTCAAAACTCTTAACTAATAATACATTTCATCTATGCTCCTTTGGCATAAATTTCTTACAGTTATTCGTGGCTGGCTAGTCAGAAAATGCTCTGGAAATATTGGCTTGTTAAATTTTGGTGACAAAGCGGTAATCACTCACTCTTTCTGAAACTTTCTGTAGTTTATTAAAATGATTGATTATTAGATTGTTTTGATTTAATCTCCTTGTTAAGCAATTTTCCTTTGTATTTTTTTTGCCTTCTAGTTTTGTTACATTTTGACAGAATTGTTTTCTTCATGGGCCAATAGCCCAGGCGGTAGTAAAATTTCTTTGCATTAAGTTATGTAGTTTTGGGCATGCAAATTGAAGCCTTCTAGTTTCATTATAATCCTAACTTGAAAAGGAATTTGAGCTGCTTCAATCTAGTTATTAATGTAAGATATTGGGTAGCAACTGTAGCAAAATTTTGTCTATTTAGGGTTTTGTTGGGTTTCAATTTTGCTAGTATGTTTCGCATGAACTCAATCCCCAATATTTTGATTCTTCTTATAAATTTGAATAACTATTACTCTTCATTTTAAAGAAACCAATTAATGCATTTGTCTATTATCTCAAATAGGGCAATGAATCAGATGAAGTTCTGGTGAAGGCCTCTTACCTTGCAGAGTTGCAGCGACGCGTCCTAAAGGCTGAGGCGGCCCTTAGAGAAAAAGAAGAAGAGAATGAGATCCTTCATCAGAGGTTGCGTCAGTATGAAAATCGTTGGTCTGAGTACGAATTGAAAATGAAGTCTATGGAAGAAGTTTGGCAGAAACAGATGAGATCACTACAATCTAGCCTTTCTATTGCGAAGAAAAGCCTTGCAGTAGATGATTCAGCTAGGCATTCTGATGCATCAGTAAATGCAAGTGATGACAGGGAATATAGTGGTGATACTGGCGGTGATGTTACTTTCAGAAGTCAAGAAAGCAACGGGGTTAGGCCGATGAGTGCTAGTTTGAGTGTGATTAGTCGGTTGGCAGAGGAGTTTGAACAGAGAAAGCAAGTATTTGGAGATGATGCCAAGTTTTTGGTGGAGGTGAAGTCAGGTCAGGTAGATGCTTCTCTGAATCCTGACAGAGAACTGAGAAGGCTAAAACAGATGTTTGAATCCTGGAAGAAGGATTATGGAGCAAGATTGCGGGAAACCAAAGTTATTTTGCATAAGCTTGATAGTGAGGAAAGGGTGAGTGACAAATTAAAAAAGAAATGGTGGACTAGAAGGAACAGCACACGGTTAGGCTAGAGTTTTAGTTTGTGACAGGACTGATTACTGAACTGTGAGGGCTTTCATGCCAAAAGTTATATAAGCCTATGTAATTATGAAATTGAGTTGGTTCACTGTGCAGCATAGATCCTGCCCCCTCCCAAAAAAAAAAAAAAAAAAAAAAAAAAGTGCAGCATAGAATTTTAGGTATATGTGTATCATTTTCTGCTTTTTTTTCCTCTTTCAAAATTGTTCTTTGTATGGAACCTGAACTACAGTCAAAAGGCTTTGACACCGGTTTTTGTGTTGTCGTCTTCAGCCAGACGGATTAGTAGCAGTGAGTTGAATGTTTCAGCTGACTATTTTCTATGGCAAAAATGTAACTAGTTTTTTTTTTGGTGTATATATTTGTTTGGTGTAGTGAAGTTTATAACATTGCTAGCTGCTGCCTGTCATTTGGAACTATTACATCATAAACACTGTGTTCATTCTGTCAAACTATTTTTTTTTTTAGTTTGAAAGGCGCAGAATTGAAAAGCATTACCAAGTGTAAGTGTTGACTGAAAGAGATACAAAAACAAAGAATAAATTTGCTGAAACCTTGTTGTATGAACAACAAAGCAAGCTACTTCGTAGTCACTAGTTTTCTCAGCTATATGCCTTGGCAACATTCCCCTCACCAGCTCTCCCTCTTAGTTCAGCGGGCGAGAGAGGGAGCGAGGAAGAGAGGCGTTGGTGTTACTCCCAGCATCCTTAAATCCTTTATGAACTGCCCCATTGTATTTTTGTGGTCTAAGTTAAAATTAAAACTTTACCATGGATTCACATTAATCGTTTAGAAACAATATAATTAAGTAGGTTATTGTCCACCTTATTTCAATAAACACCCTTGGTTCAAATGAAGATTTTAATGGCTTAAAACATATTTTTGTTATTGTAATAGTCGAAAATGGCAATTGAACGATCTTTACAAAAATAGAAAGGGTAGGTTCCATACCAAAATCAAAGACCAAAATTTTTGAAAACAAGACCCAAGATCATGTTGATTATAATAGGAGTCTTAGGACCACATCAATAAATTGGTCCAAATCTTTTCCAAACTTCACTTGATCGATTTTAAAACTTGATTCCATGTATACATTTTAATAATTACGGAGTAGTGTAAATTTTTAATAACTAGGTTAGATCCCGTGCCATGCACGATTTTTCAATTTTTGTCACGGAGTATCAATTTATTTTTATTTTTTTTAAAATCTCAAATCAAGCTACTTAATATTTTTAAAATTTTTTTTTTTTGAATACATATTATATTGCTTTCTTCTATTTTGAACCTTGATGGCAATTTATTTATATTTCAAATATGATAATTTTTCATTCACCAAGTTGAAAAATATATATTCATGATTTTTTTTTACTATAAATAATCATTATACATTAAAAAGTAATTATTAATATAGGAATTTATTTATACAAAGATATGGTTAGATATTTATGTTTATAAATATATTATTCTACGATTATTTTCCTTAAATTTTGGAAGTAAATATTTTGCGTATATAACCTATCAATTTTTAAAAGTTTTATTTTTTATTTTTTAAATTTAATTTTAAAAAAAATACTAAGGACACGCCAAAAGACACGTGTCGACACGTATCATTGCTGGTGTGTCTTTTAGTATATTGTTGATTGATGATTGATACTTCGTAGTATAGAAACGAAAATATGAATTAAAAGAAAACTAATTTTAAAGTTTATTTTCAAACATTATACTATAAAAAGCTCATGTAATGAATGTTTTCAACATATTACTTTGTAAAAGAGAAAATTAATCATTCTAAAGATTTTTACTAATTTGATATAAGCCCTATTTTTACCGAGTTTTTGACTGGATCGGACCAAAGATTGAAAATTATATATCTCAACTTAAATATTACACTAGTTTCCTTTCATAGAAGGGGTGGGATGAGGATCGAACAGGGAGAGATGGAGGCCCCATGATCTCCTCATTGGACTAAATTTCTTAGGTGGTTCAATTAAGTTTTTTTTTACCATCCTTCTTATTCCCAAAAAAAAAAAAAAAAAAAAAAAAAAAACCTCCCTTGAATTCGCCATTGAAGTGGTTTGTGAGCTTTCTCTCCTCCATTGAAGAAGCTTTTGAGGTCATACGTATGTCCAACCCATTGAATTGGTCTCTCTCAATTCTCCATTGAAGTGCACTCAACGTTCTCCATTGAAGCGCACTCAGCGTCCTACATTGAAGCGCAGTTCACGTTCTCCGTTGAATATAGTACTTGTATCCCCCATTGAAGTAGCTTCTGAGGTAAGTTGTTTGGTTTTTGTTATCATCAAATCAATTTCACAATCTAATTTAATTGTCAGTGCATTAAGTGTAGGGTTCCAAAATCTCAACTATTGCTTCTAAATTCTAAGATAACCAAAATTATGAGCCTAATTTAATTATTGAATCCTATAATTATGTATTTTTCGAATCAAATTTGGTTGCTAATGTATGGCACAGCTCGGATTGAACTATGAAATCACACCTCTTTTCGAATCAAATTCGGTTGCGAATGTATTGCACAACCTTTCAATGTGAGGATTGAACTATGAAATTACACTTCCTTTAGAATCAAATTTGGTTGCGAATGTATTGCACAACCCTTCAATAGTTCAATGTTAGGATTGAACTATGAAATTACACCTCTTTTCGAATCAAATTTGGTTGCTTAGTGTATTGCACAACCCTTTAATGTTAGGATTGAACTATGAAATTACACCTCTAGCTTTCAAAAATAATAATAATAATAAAAAAAAAAACCTTTATGAAATTACAACTCTTTAATGTTAGGATCGAACAATTACTGAAATATACAAATGTTTGAATGTCTTTGATGTAGCAGCGCTGTTTGAATGCAATAAAGGAAGCAGGAGAAAATGCAATACTCAGAAGAATGGAAGTCGTTATTTCCGATTTGTTCAGTTCATTCTTCTCCCCTCCTCCTTACCAAAAACCCGTCTTTATTGGGACCGCTGTTCTTCAATCCCGTCCCTGAGTCTTTGTCCCTTCTCTTCTCTTCGCCTGATCTCTCTCCTCCTTTCATCCCTCCTCCTCCACACCTCTCTTTACCCAGATTCCTTCAACTTTCCACTTCCCATGACATCCTTCCTACTGTTGCCTCAGCTATTTCTGCTTCCTTAAACTCTGAAGAGCACTGTAGAAGCTCCAACTATGTCCCCTATAACCGTCTTGAGCCCCTATACTGCCCCAACGACCAGGTTTTTGTTTTCTTTCCAACTGGGTCCAATCTTGATTGTGTTGGGTATCTTGTTTTATCAGTAAGAGATTCCAAATTAGTTGTTGATTTTAGTACTGATGGTTCTGTTTTGACTTCCCAAATTAAATTTGATCATCAGATTGTTCAATTGACAGCGTGCTCTCTTAGTGATTGTACATTTCCTGATGTGGGGGGTCCTGATTGTGTTGGTTTCTTATTGGCTTGTAATATGTATGCTGCTAATTGGTTTAGTGTTCGAACTAGTGGGCACTGTTTAGACTCCAAGAAGCCTGATTTGGTTCTTTTGGGAAGTAAGAAATTCACAAGTAGCATGGTGGCTTATGCTTGTTGGAATCCACATCTGCCTGGAGAGTGTGTACTCTTGTTAGAAAGTGGAGCATTGTTTTTGTTTGATATGGGTTCTCATGTGGATACAAGGTTTAAAGGGAAAAGAATCAATGTTGCTTGGGATGAAACTGGTGAATCAGCAGGTAGTGGGTGGTTCAGTTGTGAATTTAGCTGGCATCCGAGAATGCTGGTTGTGGCAAATTCAAAGGCTATTTATGTGGTTGATTTAAGATTTGGGAAATGTCAAACGAGCTGTTTATTGAGGATTGACATGCTTGGAGTGAGTGACCTGCATGCGAAGGATAAGTTTGTTGTCTTTTCAAAGGCTGGAAATGATGGTTTCTTCTATACTGTGGCTTCTGAGCAATGGCTATTTTTATGTGATGTTCGCAAACCGCTAATGCCAGTTCTTAGATGGGCTCACAATGTGCATGAGCCTCGTTACATGACTGTTTTGTCTCTGTCTGATCTGAGATCCATGCCACACGATAAAGATGCAGGAGCCTCTGCTGTTATCTTAGGATCATTTTGGAACAAAGACTTCAGTCTTTTCTGTTATGGCCGTCCTCACCCAGCTACTGCAAAATCTTTCTCTAGTAAAATTTCAAATTTCTCGAATTCTTTTTATGCATGGGAGCTTCCATCATCTCTCTTGTTGGCTGGTCAGAATTGCCACTGTGGCAGTTGTCTTTTGAGGGAGGAATTTGCAAAGGATGATCTTCTTGAGTGGATTGAATGGCAACAGAAAAGGGAGTCAGTTCTTGGCTTTTGCATTCTGAACAAGCATCTCTGTTCTTTATTACCGAAGGTTGGAGAGCATGGGGGTTTTACACTTTTCCGATTGATGTCAACTGGGAAGCTTGAATCTCAGCAATACTGTGCCTCTTGGATAATGGCAAGGATTGTGGCAACGACACATGGAGAAGTGAATCCTCTCAAAGATTCTTTGTTATGTTCTATGGGTGATGAGATTTATAAATATCCCAAGAGGTTCCGCTACATTAAACTTGAGAACCTTTATTATCATTTGAATAGTAATCTGGCCAAACTATTGTTTACAAAATTTAAGAACATTCCAGCTTCCGCAGGCTTGAAGAAATTCTCTAATGAACGTTTCCATATATTTATGGGTGACAAATTAAAGTTATTTGGCTGTGATCCACCAATGTCACACCTTTCAGTTGCTGATGTTTTCAGGGATGTTGACATGCCAACAAACCTTTATGAAATTGTGAGTAGACTAATGTGGACCTCCTTACCAATGAATATTTTGGAGGTTGCTTTTCCTGAGTATAGTGAAGTTCTTGAAGTTGAACATAAAAAGTTTTCTCTGGATTTTCCTGTCATTCCTGACCAAAACCAGTCTCCTCCCTTCTTTCTAAGAGACCCTTCCCACTTCACTAATCAGAGGTCAGGCAGAGGACGACGCAGTGAAGATTTTGTGGGTCCTGTTTTTCCTCTTCTGGCATTAGTTGTTTTGAATGAGATCTCAAGATGTGGATATTCTTTCGTGGGTGAAGTAAATGAATTCTCGCCTGAAGACATATTTACCCAACAATGCAAATATGTAATGCGTTTGACCAAGGAATTGGGCACCCTTAATGTTGGTGACAAACCGGACAAGTACCGTGCAGTATCACTCAAGGAAGACAGGAATGAGTCAGAACCAAGACCAGTATTCATTTATAAGCCATCTGCATTTTTGGATGAAATTGAGGAACATACGGGTTCTGATTTAGGGGAGAGATTTGATACAGTAATTACTAAGTTTGCTGAGGATGACAATGATTTCTTTGCTGGACTTTGCCCAATGGAACTAAAATATGATGATGCCAAAAAGATTGAGTTCTCTGAGACGGAGTCAAGTGCGTTCAAATTATTAAAAGAACAGTTTTCACACTGGCAGAAAAACTTTATGCCATACCACAATCTTCAAGTGCAACTTCAAAAAAAACAGCCACATTTGAGACCTGCAAAGTAATTGCAGGATCTGAGACATTCTACAGATGATTTGCTTTTGATTTTTCTGATATATGTATTTCCCTGCACAAGAATCAAAGGTAGTGTAGAATATGTACACTGTAGTCATAAGATTTATATGTGATACGCAAACAAAAATTTTGGAAGCATCAATAAATTTGCTTAATTACTGGTATTCTGATTATGCATCTGCATTTTTCTTGTTGGATTTTTTGGGTTGGAGTTAGTACTAGTTTTATTTGAAGTAGGCTCATAGAAGTTGCAGCCCTAAAATTAATTTTAAAAACCGTTTCTCTATGTAAAGGTTCTATTTTAGTCTACCAACTTGACTGCATTAACCAGATTAAGAAAATTGTTGTTGCTGCAGTAATAAGAAAACTGATATATTGGGATATGGGTCAAGTTAACTGAACTACGTCTACTTCTTGAACTCAAGTGAATTGATAAACTGCATTATAGCTTTGTGGGTACAAAATTCAACATTTTTGTTGATTGGATGTACATTGGTTATTTGCTCTGCATGAAGCCAAGAAATAAAGTACTCACCTAGATTTCCATTGTAAACAAGGTAACTTTCTCACTTGCAATTTCTTTCTTTAATCGATTTTTCCCCCCTGGGTATTATTGCATTCCTTTTACTTGAAATTTTGCACCTTTTTTTGGGGTTCATTATTATTTTAATTGTATAATTTGTGATGTTCATTGTAGAGTTATTCACTGAAATGGGTAATTTGTATTTATAACTTATATATTCATGAGTTTTGTTGAAATCAATTTAATAGATAGGTGTATGTATTGGGTTTTCTTGCTTTGGGAAATGAACAGTTTGCGGGGAAATTGAATGTGTAGCTGTTTTGATTCTTTTTCTTAATTTGGTATAATACAAAATTTGTACTCCGAAATCAGTCTACAAAACTCGGTTTCAGCTATTAATGTGTAAGAGTTAATTTAAATATTGCTCAAAAAATTTCAGTCACATAAAAATTTCATAATATTGACTAAAGTCTAAACATGCTAGAAAATATATATTTTTATATTTTTACTGCCCCTAATTTTATGAAACACACATCATCTCCATAATTGGCTGTCGAAAGATAAACTTGTCTGTCCGCCTTTCTGGTGTGAGTCAGGAATCTCAGGATTGCGATTACCACTGACTTGCTGCTCAATTTTTTTGGCATAGTTCTTTCTGCTCTAGCCCATAATCACAACATGCGGTGGTCAAATCATATCCTTAATCTCCTATTTGACCTTGTTTTTTATTAGTATTTTTAATATTATGTTTGTCCTATAAATCTATAATCAGCCATTTGTAAATCTAATATTTTAATTTAATGACATTATTCATCAATTCCTCCACCAAAAGTTTATTCAGCTTAGTGACACCATACAGATGCGGTTAATTCTGTCGACAATCTGATGTATAAACCAGCTCAATTCCAAACAAATGTTCTATTTGTCTTTGGTCCCATAGTGGATAAGTTCATCGCCAAGCAAAATTTAGTAGCCTTTAAGTACTCCCCTACTAATTTAAGCATAGCACTTTGTTTGGAAAAGAAGAGAAGTGAAGAGAAAGGGAGGATAATTTATCTTGATTGGGTAAAGGATTGGGGAAAGGAGAGGGGGCGATCCATTTTGCCTCTCTCTTTAATACATATAATCCCTCTAAATTTGGAGAGATTTGGAGGGAAAATGGAGCTCACCTTTTTCCTTCCTTTCTCTTCTCTTCCCTCTCCTTCCTTTCCTTCTTTGCTATATAAACAAAGCGTAAATGTTTCAGCCTGAGTCTTTCTTAAGATGCATCATACTGTTTGTGTTGAAGTTGTGATATACTGATGTGGGCCCATGTGACACCTTATTGTGATTATTGTACCTAGTCTTCTTCAACGTTTTTGTGGTAAAATATGGATGTTAAGGAGGAAATTGTTTATTGATGTCATTTGAGGTAATATAATTTGAACAGTTGAAGAACGAGGCATTCGGTATGTGTGTGTGAGTTGAATATCTGGTAGGTAAATGCCAACTTTTTTTTTGAATACTGCCCATCAGGGGGTATTTAGTAAAATTTTTGAGGGAGTGGGAGGATGAGAGGGGTGGGGGAGGTGGGGAGAAGGTGAGGATGACGATGAGAGAGAAGGAAGAATATCGTCAGTAAAATTTTTGAGGGAGTGGGAGGATGAGAGGGGTGGGGGAGGTGGGGAGAAGGTGAGGATGACGATGAGAGAGAAGGAAGAATATCGTCCACTACCTCTGAATGATAGCAATGTTAGTAAAAGACAGTGAGGGAAAGGAAGGGGGGGGGGGTGTATATTTCTAATTCTTATTTCCTGGTTGGCTGCTATTTTCATGTACATATATTTGCTAGATAATTGGAACTCTCATTTAGGCTACTTATAGGGCATTTTTGAGTTAGGATTAGGGGCTTTGCTTTGAACTCTCATTTGCTAGATCACCGATATATGGTAGTAAATAGTACATGTAAAAACACATTTTGATTTGCTTTGAATGATTTGTTAAAGATCTAACATAGTGGACCTTTTCATCCTACCCTCTTACCGAGTTACTTTGTATGCATTACTTGGACATGGCTACAACTACAAGTGTATAATACAACGCCAAGAGTATTAGCAATATGTACATCATTTCTTTCTTTCTCTGACATTTTATTGTAACTTCTGCAGTGTTGCTACTGATTATTTTAACATTGTAGTAGAAATCATTCCTCCATTATTGTGAGTTTATGCTTTTTTTTTTTTCTTTTTTTTTTTTGGGCAGCGATTATTTGTTCAAGTTGTTGCTAACTGCAATTCATTTGTTGGAAAGTTGTGTCTTCTTTTCAGATTTGCAGCACACTTAACTTTCCTTCTACTCATCTTATTCATTGTTCTTAAATATAATTTTGGTTGCTGTTAAGCTGAAGCGTTTACAATTTGTTCTTTTATTTATTCTTTAAATCAATTTTTGAATTTTCCCGGACAAACTTTCATCTCTTAAATATCAGTTTTGTTAGCTCCTCCATTCATCGTTTCTTTAATTTTTTGAATTTTCCAGGACAAACCTTCTTTTTTAGTCTAAGATATACTTTACTTTTTGTCTACTGCTGTAACTATTATTTCCCTTTTTTTAAAAAAAAAAAACCAAATAATTGGTGGTGGTTAATCTGTGAAATTTACTATGTTTATTGTTTGATTTTGTGGTTTTTATGATGTTGAATTACAATTATGATATTATCATATTATCAATATGCATGTGATATCTACTGTTAATTCCTCTGTTCCTGTTTACTTAATCTAGCTGATTGTCATTGTAGTTTATGAAATAGGCAAAAAAAAAAACAACCTAACTTAGCTTACATGTATCACGGGGCACTTCACTTTCTTTATTTTTCTTATAATCTGGTTCAAATCATCTTATGGATAAGGATAGAAAATGCAAGGAGTTCAAAATGAAATATGTCTTATGGATCACTGGAAAAATCATAGAAGAAAGTATTTTTCTTGCTATTGTTTCCTAGGATTGGACTTTTTTGTGCCTTTCCGTATGAACAAATAATTTCACAACATGTCTATCTAATGAAGTTTTCTTTGCTTGTATTTTGGAAAAATAGCACTTCAAACTTGACAAATATCATGCTCCTCTCATCTTTAGCTCCTTGGTTCAAGAAATTCATGGTGAGATACTTCAGTCGTGTACTCAAGATTTTCTTTGCCTGTTTTATATTTTGTAGTAGCTACCCCATTCTCAATCAGCAAATTTTTTAGGATGGATTGCTTTTGGTGTAGATCTTGTATTGTGGCTCTTCTGCATTAGGTGTTATTGATTACTGGTTTTTATGCAATTACAGTTTAACTGTTAATTAAGATTCAGCTTTTATAGTTTTGTACCTAAAATTTCATGTTTTAGACATTGATCTATTTGTTAAATTTCATGTTTTCTTTCCTCAATCAAGCCACTGATATAATATGAGTTGTATTAATTAAGTCTCGTAAAATTGCAAGTAATATAGTACTTTGTTTTTCAGAAAATTTGACGAATAAACCTAAACTTCCTGATAAGAATTCTGCACTCATTGCTGTTATTGCTTACAAGGTATATGTTTGCTATAAAATTAATTGAGCAGAATTGGTGCAAGTTAATATGAAATATAGCTTGGAAAATTCAATTTGAGTTAAACTATAACAGCATCGGGAAAAAGTAAAAAAAAAATTGATTGATTTGATAGTTGATAAATTTTCTTAGGCAAATAAAAAGCCATAGGAAGGAGATGATGATGATGATAAAAATGATTTTGAAAGTGATAGGCCTTTCTTTGCAGTTGCTGTAGGTGTTTCCTATCAACCTAATAGTTTTCTGTACTTCCTTTTTTTTTTTTTTTTTTTTTTTTTTTTTTAATATCAATATGTTTGCAATTTTGTTCTTTTCTCCTCAATCTTAGTTACTCTCTCTAAATTGTACTTGGTCATCTTCATCATCTTTGGTAAGTTATTTGATTTTACCTAAATTAATGAATTGTCGTTCTTGTTAAATTTGAATTCGTTTCATTTTAGGTCCTGAGTAATAAATTCGCTGTTTCTTTTGAATTGTTGTTGCTCCTCTTTTTCTTTCATTTCACTCTTTCTCTCTCTAAAATTGGGGTTTGAGAAGATTTAAATGTAATCTCATTTTCCCCATCTCAGTCCCCTATTACATCCCCATTTTCTAGGGTATTGATCTGACCCTCTGATTTTAATCTCTCTTTCTTTTGATCTTCTTGTTTTGCAGGTTGATGTAGCTTACCTGTGTGTTCTTGGGACTGTCGATAACTTGTGATATTATTCCATCAGACCTTACTGTTCTGGTAATTGTGTGGCCTTTTGAATGTTTCTACATATGTGTTGATGCCTTCTTCCAATGGTTTATTTCCCATCAGTGTGTTCTCTTCCTTTTAAGACCTTCCTGTTCAGATTAGATTTAATAACAGATGTACAACTATATTAACCGGTCTGCCTAGATGTTCTATAGCATGTAGTTTTGTTTGTCTTTGCATTGTATCAAGTGATTAATATGGGCTATGATGCTGGAAATAATCGACATGGTAAATGGTATCATGATTTCTTTTTATTGAACTCTTTCAACGCTGTGTACTGTACTTCCATTTTTGTGCAGTTTTGGCTGCATGTTGTTAAGGAAAACGGTAGTATAAAATGCTGAAATTGTGAAGCCTATCATGAAACTCAATCTTAAATTTAAATGAATCTTTAATTTTAACCAAAAAGATACTTTTTTGTTTTCCTTATAAAAATAGAGATGGGGTGAAGTGTTATCAAATTGAGTTAGGAAAAGAATGGTTGCTAGCAAAGATATATGACCTTATACACTTTGGATATTGATGGTATGCCTTGGTGCTTTAAAGATTGCTACTTCAAACCATATCTGCTATGCCTATGAATGCTGTTGTAACGAATGTGAGAAAGAACAAATTAATGAATGCAAAACAAATAAATAGCACACACAGATTTACGTGGTTCACCAACAATGTGTTGGCTACGTCCACGGGCAGGCGAGAGAAAAGCTTTATTGATCTTGAGGAAATTCCAGATTACAGATTGATAATGTCAATTATCAATAATAGACTAAGCTATGAATAAACCCTAACTAGGAATATATATAGCTTCCCCAAATAAGATAGATAAGTGCATAAAAATGGCCCATGAAACCCTAATAAATCGTGTGGGTTCCACCGTGCACAAACGGAGAGCTCTCGCTCACCATCGAGCGAGCTATCGCTCGGACCCCAGTCGAGCTATCGCTCATGGTCGAGCGAGCTATCGCTCGGCCCCTATCTCACCTTCGACCTTCGCGAGCTACCACGCGAGCTACCGAGCGAGCTATCGCTCGGCCTAGTCGAACCAATATGTCTTCGTGAGCTATAGCTCACTCGCATAGGAGCTATAGCTCCAATTTCGTCGCAACTCCATATGCTTCCGAAACTACCGAGCTACCTCTCGAGCTATAGCTCGCTGCTCCTAAACCCAAATTCAAGGCATATTTTCAACAAATGCTGTTTTTCTTTTATCAATCTTATGCCTTATTGTGATATGAGCATATCTATGCTGAATTTCATTTTGGATTTATGTTTTGTCTTTTTACAGGACTCCCCTCCTCTGCTTCGGAATTGTCATCGTATAAAATGCCACCACAATTTGCCACAAGGTACACCGGCAATTCCACTAACATTTGCGGAGGAGGCGAAAGATGGGGAGGGGTGGTGAATGAAGAGCTAGAAGGTGAATAATTGACTTCATTTTCCTTTAAAATTAAAATCTGATCCGTATATCAATGTATCATATATGAAGTATGTGACCCATGCAAAGGTCCTTTTTTATTTCTTCTATGCTTGTATATTTCAAGTCTATCCGTGTTTTAGGCATAGGTCTAACTTTTATAGGAAATTAAACTAAGAATTGCTTCAAACAGAGAACTTGGACTACACTTCGATGGAGGAGAGTGCAATTGAAGGATCCAAGTATGCTGGCCTAAATTAGGAAGGTAGTATGGATGAACCGTGGTGAAGTATGGTCCAACCTCCAAGTCCTTTAGGACTAGAATTTGTCGGATAAAAATATTTCCTTAATTGCAAATTTGAGGCCATAATTATTTTATTATTATTATTATTATTTTTTTTTTGATTGGGAGGCCATAACTATTTACTCTTACAGCTATTATTTATTATTTTATTTAGGATTCAGATTTTTGCTTATATAATTTTGGAAAACTTTGACTTAATAGTTTGATTTTTATTTTTTATTTTTAAAAGGCAAGGAGGACCCTCACCATACCTCAGCCCTCACGGTTTTTGGGTCCATTATTTGCAGGCCATACACTTGGGAGTAGAGGGGAGGGTAAGGGAATCTCTATCCCCAAGCACCCTTATTTGGTAGGATTCGAACCCCAAACTTCTAGGATCTGAGGAAGAAACTTACCAAGTGAGCCAACACTTTATTAGTACTTAAGTTTGAACAATTTAGGGATGTACGAGTTAGGTATTTAGGTTGGTCTTCTTTTACCTTATAATTATATAGACAATTGAAATGTAGATTACCTTTTTATTTTTCCTTCATACGTAACTTAATCTTACCTTATTGATGCGCGCGATTGCACAACTAGTTATACCAAATTCATCCATGACTATGTGTTATATATTTATATCCATTAATAATTCAATAATTTGGTAAGTCTGAGCTATATTTCCTGTAAGCGATGTTGATTTGTTTAAATCCGAGCTGCAAATTTCCTGAACTCTGTTTTAGGGTTTCTTATACTCTTTGAATGTATATGGATTTGTCTTTTCTAGATCTATTTCTTCTTTAATGAATATCTCTTTAAAAAAGATCATCTATGTGATTAATCTACTTGGGTTATGCAAATCAATAACCACCGAATAAGAGGAGCTTCTTGATCACACTATAAGGAGAGGGGTCAATCCACATGACCTTTCTTTTCACTCTTCTCTTTTGTTGTAATTTATTTTATTTTATTTATTTTATTTATCAAAGATGATTATTGAATTAAGTTATTATGTTAAAAAAATTTCATGTCACTTTCTGATGGCTATGTCAATGATTATCCCTGCTGCTCATAAAGCTCCTTAGTGCATTCGAGGCCTTTGTCAGCTGTTGTTGCTCCATGCTTGCACAGGCGATCACAAAAGGCCATGGCATGCATATCAGATATATTTTCTGCATCTGCTATTAATCTGAATGATTTCATGCGGTCTTGCTATTCCACTTGTTAACAGGCCTAGGTCTCTGCAATGTGGCAATGAAGGTTGGTAATTCCCTGAACCATTATTGGAAGATCTAATAATCAGTAATGTATGAATGAAAGCTGATTACACTCACTTCTTTAGTTCCACAAGATAGTCTAGTGCCTGCTATTACATGAGCTGGGGATTCCTGTTCTCTCTCTTGGGCTGTCCTTTTGGTTGCAGGGTGGTGTCTCCTTTTTAAGAAGCATAGTCTTTGAGGTTCTATGGAAGATGGATGCCGTGCCATTCCAAATGATTTTTGGAGCTTTTGCTACAACGAGCACAAGAGGCAGACTGGAAACTTCAAGGAAGTACTAGGAAAAGGAGGCTTTGGTGCTGCAAGGGTGCTCTGGCAGATGAGAGAGTAGTTGCTGTGAATAAACCAGATAATGTTGTCCAAGGAGCTGTTGAAATTTGAGGAGTGAGCATATGAACCTTGCAAGAATGTGGGGAAACATGATCTCTTCGTTTAATGAGCATGTGTTAATTTGGACTAACACTTGCTCTCATCTGAAATCCTTCTTGGCTTGAGCAGATAATATAGACCTCCATGTATAACTCGCATTAGAACCCAACCTTAGCATCCATAAATTCAGAGTTAGGGAAGTACTTATTTTTCAGAGTTTTAACCATCAGTGAGGAAGTGTTGTTTAGGATCCTCCAAGCTTGCTTAGCGAGTAAAGCTTTATTAAAAGCCTTCATGTCCCTCATTCCCAATCCACCATCCTTCTTCGCAGCATACATTCTATCCCAAGCCACCCAAGCCAATTTTTTCTCCTCCTTCCTTTGCCCCCAAAAGAAATTCCGGCAAAGTCTTTCAATCTCATTCAAAATGCAAACAGGAATATTGAAGCATTGCATGGCATACATCGGCGAAGTCTGTTCAAAATGAAAAAAGGGGCGGTGAAGTCTGTTGGGAAGGGTCGTAGCATTGATATTTGGCACGATCCTTGGGTGCCTTCCCTTCCTAGTTTCCGCACTTTTCTGAATGAAACTCATAGTGAGAACTCCCCTAAAGTGGTGCATGATCTGATCAGTGATGGAGAGTGGGATAGGAGTCTCATTAATTCTATTTTTTGCTGAAGCTATAATGAATATCCCTGTTGCTTGCCTCTATGATATGGATAAGTGGATGTGGGTACACTCAAAAAAGGGAGAATTTTCTGTCTGAAGTGCCTACTATGTGCAATTGCAGGCCAATCACACTGATCGTGCTTCTATCTCTGATGCGAGTCGGATCACTATTTGGGGAAAGCTTTGGAATGCAAATATACCTCCAAAAATCAAGCACTTTGGCTGGAGAGCTCTTCAGAACAGCATCCCTGTTAGAAGCATTCTGAAAAAAAGAAATATTTGTGAGGATGATGGTCCGTGCTGTGGGTGAGGCTGCTGAAACAATCATACACTCCCTCTTCACTTGTTCTGACGCTAAGCTGATTTGGTACCTTTCTCCTCTTCGTCTTGATACTAGCAAGTGTGAAGACTCCTCTTTTCTGGTGTGGTGCAGCAAGTTGGAACAATATTATAAGGATAAAGCTTGGTGGGATATTTTTTGGTGCTTAGTGTGGGGAATCTGGTTGAAAAGAAACACTCACTATTTCGAGAAAAAAATATGACTGTAGAGAAGGTGATTTGCAAGGCAATGAATATGCTGGGTGAGTATGAGAAAGCTAATGAAAAAATTCCTTATGAGATGTGTAAGAGGCAAAGTGTTAACAAGAAGTGGTCTCCTCCTGCTGTTGGGTGCTACAAGATTAATTCAGATGCTGCTGTGTTTGGTGACAACACGATAGGCTTGGGTGGGATCATGAGAGATCACCTTGGTGATGTTATGGCAACAACTTGCTGTTTACAGCATGGGTGTTTTGAGGTGGATATTGCTGAAGCTCTAGCAGCAAGACATTGCCTGACCATTGCTTTGGATGCAGGACTTCGTGATTTAGTGCTGGAAACTGACTGCAGCAAGTTGTACCAGTATTTACAGCATGGGAAATGTGAAACTTCAGCTTTTGGTGTTATTGTTAGTGATATTCTGCTCTTGGCTAGCTCTTGCTCTAGTATGGATATTGCTGAAGCTCTAGCAGCAAGACATTGCCTGACCATTGCTTTGGATGCAGGACTTCGTGATTTAGTGTTGGAAACTGACTGCAGCAAGTTGTACCAGTATTTACAGCATGGGAAATGTGAAACTTCAGCTTTTGGTGTTATTGTTAGTGATATTCTGCTCTTGGCTAGCTCTTGCTCTAGTATTTCCTTTTCACAGGTTGGTAGAGATGGCAATTGTGCCGCTCATTTATTAGCTAGAGGTAGCATAGAGTTTGGTGAGATGAGAGTATGGTTAGAAGAAGTGCCACATTGTGCTAGTAATGTTGTGCTGTGAGATTTAACTAGCCTGGAGTAATATTATGCTCAGTTTTTTTCTGTAAAAATAAAAATAAAATGAAATCCTTCTTGGCTGGAAAGAGAGGAGTCAAGTTGAAATAGGCACGGCTAAAGATTTTGCATACATTCACCAGAAATGTCTAGAATGGGCTATCCATTGTGATGTCAAACCTGAAAATTTTGTCTTTGATTGAAGATTTTTATTGATCTCTAAACTTATATTTCTGTTCTCCCTATATAATGTAATACATTAGTAGTATTACTAATTTAATCATGATTCCAATTTCCAAATCAACTAACATTAAAATGATAAACCGACAAGTTGTGCATCACATAATTCACGTTTGTATGACAAGGTTATTCATCGGTCTAAGATCGGATCATATCAAAGACTGAAAATTGAAAATTTAAGATTTGTGGCCAGATCAAATTTGGACAGAGTGATAAAACTAGCCCAAACCCGAGCTGGACCAAACTTAGAATTTTTCAATATTTTAATTTAAATTTTTGTACAATGTTATAAAAAAATAAATATAAAAAAAATGATTGCAATATGAGAAAAGCCAAATTTATCTTTGTGATAAACTAAAATATATCTCTTTCACAATACGGAGTATACTTTTTTTTTCATGAGTTTCCTCACACAAATACACAATATTCAATAGGTGAAAGAAAATACAAGTTTATCTTTTTGATAACTTTTTATCAAATATGAACACACAATTGTTGATTTATTTACAAAAATATTATCTTGACTGGATAAAATTATTATTTACGATTATATGGAGTGCGATTCTTCTAATTTGATAAACAAGATAAATCGTGGCTTCCTCGATAGCTCAAACTCCAGTTTTCCTAACCGGACCGGGTTTTTAACACCCCTACGAACGGGTACGGTATGAACACGACGCAGATAAATTGTTTAAACAGGACTACAGAATTTGGAGGGTGGGAGATACACAAACTCACCTACACCTTGAACCCTCGTCAATCGTCACAATTTCTACTGCAAAGTGTGAGTAAGAGAGCTGAGAATGAGTTGTGGATGCAGAATAACCCAGCATCTCAAAGACTGGGATGGTTTTGGGTTTGGGATTCCCTCCTTTTCTTCTCCCAAATTCAGATTTTCTTCTTTGATTAAACCCCAACTACATTCTCAACCTCGATTTCACAAAATCCCATCTTTTCAATGGACCAAAACTTCAATCACAACAAGATTACTAACTACAAATTACCCTTCTTCTTCTTCTTCTTCTTCTTCTTCTTCTGCCAATTCATTCTCTTTTATCAATTGTCTTCAATCTAAGTTCTCCAATGAAATTCCCACGTTCAACGATTCCTCTTTCAGGTTTTCTTTTATTCCCTTGTTTTTGTTCCAATTACTATACCTTTTTTTTCAAATTTTTTTTTTAATTTAATTCTTACTTAATTTCTTGATGTTTTCTGATGATGTGATCACGAATAATTATCTATGAGCGAATTAGGATAAGTGGGTTTTGTTGATTATATTGCTATATATTATAGCTTGTTTGTATATTAGTGCTATGAAGAATGAATTAATGGTAATGTAGAATTGTTAAATTACTTTGGAAACAATACTGTTTGATCATATATTGATTGAAAATTTTGCTTTTGGGTTTATTTGATGCTTAAGTTTCACTAGGTTCACAATGTCAAGTTTAATGGTAGCTCATTGACTATGCTAAGGGATCTAAAGAGAGAAATATGTTTGTGAATCGCAGTATATTCGTAGGCAATGGTGTTGGGGGGGATTGGGGTCTTCTTACTTTGTTATGGAGTGTGATATAGTTGCATTATAGTCCACAGAAGGATATAATGTTGCAAGAGGCATATGACTATATGAACTGAAGACATGTTGGTACCTTTATTGGCTTTGGCTTTATTCGGCGAAATTAGCTCAAATAGTCGATGAGAATGTAAGCTTGCTAATGCTAAACGCCTAAAGTTAGCTGAAAGTGAAAGAGTAGTTACAGAAAAGCTTTAGATTTGTTTGGCTGAGCTAGTTGAAAATTACAGGATGGCTGAAATGCTAGTCTGAAAGGTTTGTCGAAGTTGAAAAGTTAGCTCCACTAGGGTTGATGCATTTAGTTGAAATTGATGACCTAGCTGAAATTGGAATAATTGGTGGAAATTGGGAGTTGAAAGGTAGTGGCTGAAAATGGCAAAACTTTCTTATCAAATACTTCTTAATTGGCACAGGGAGTGCCTGTGCCTGTGTGGCCTGTGGCACAGGTGTAGTTAATCCTTGTGCTAGTTTGTTCCAAACCTTCTTGTATCTTGGATAATCTTTTGCTGTGGTACAAGCTGTTAAAGCTTGAACATAAAATGCTACTCTTACGCTCATTTTGATGATCTTTGTTTGAAGTAAAGACTCCATGAGTACTAAAAGATGGACAGGTATGAGGCAAAAGAGTCTTTGCTATTAAAATGTACATCTCATATTAGTTATTGTAAAAGCTTATTAATTCCGGCTTATGCCTTAGACCCACTAATGGACTATAACGAGCTGAATAAAGATTATATGTTTATCTATTTGTGCTGTCATGTTAATATCTATTTTCTTTTTTATCGGGTGAAGCCAGAAGGATGATGATTGCGAGCTTTCATCTGAAGGGCTGTCATCAATAGCAGGTTCCCTTTGCCTTCTTAAAACCTTTTTTTTAAGATACTTTTCTGATTAAGAAGGTTGTGTAGTGTCCCGTTTTTGTTTATTTAATGAATTTTTGGAACCCTTCCATCTTCTTTTGACTTTCCTTCATTGGCACTTCACTCTGTCTATATTTATATGTAATCTAATTTTTTCTTATTCCCTCTTTCCTAAATAAAGATGTTCTTGCAAATAGTCAAGAAAACTGAAGTTGGTAACTCTGTGCATGTTTATCTGTATATGTGTACTTTAATGATGTCTTGGTGTCAGATTATTATGAATTTGCAGTTGTAAGTTTAACTGATAAGTTTATAAAATGTGATGGAGGAAGACTTTTTATGATGATGATAATTGGATTTAAATCCTTGTCCTTAGGCAGTACTCCCAGTTACATAGTTTGGTAACTTGGTTACTTGAGACTAGGATGAGGATAGTCAAATTAATTAAATTTTGATTACTGAATCCATGTATGCATAATTTATTACATTTGATATGTAACACATGTTATTCTATGAGGAATTTCTGATGAAGAAGTGTAACGAACATTAGCCTTAGTTAGTGTAATTGAATGAACTGAAATCCAGGTTTTTTAGACTGAATCCTATGTTATCACACACACATTTATAGTTTTTGGTCAGCTAGGAACTAGTAGTATGTTATGGTAGATTTCCTGAAAGAAATAGAGGACTAGGTTGTATTCTTGTCGATAAACCATAAGCCATACTTAATCTGTAATGCTGAATTCAAGGTGAGTATATTTTTTTTGGTGATTCAGCAATCCTCTAGTTGCATGTCATTCTTATACTCTAGATGGGCTGCTTTTTAAAGAGATTTGTCATTAGCTGTGATAATATTCTTTTCTATGAGTAAATGTTTTTTTTTTTTTAAACAGGAGGCATAGTAGCATTGGGGAAGTTTGACGCCTTACACATTGGTCATCGGGAACTTGTAATTCAAGCATCTAAAGCTGGAGCTCCATTTCTTTTGTCATTTGCAGGGATGGCAGAAGTGCTTGGTTGGGCACCTAGGTATTTGCATCTTGTGTATTAGTCTGCTTAGTTTTTATCCCCTGCTCTTTACAATTAGCAAACTTTCTCCTCTGTTCTTTATACAAGTATATCATAGCAGCTAGAGTTTCATGCATCCCAACACAGATTTCAAATCATTTATGTCTTATATAAGTAAAATCCCACATGACTATATTTTTCCTTGAGTAAACCACTATTTAGAATTGTAATGGTCAAAGTGTACTGTGTAAAATCTGTAAATTGTGTTGGAACCCAATTGCTGCGTTAAATGAAGAACAAAGGTAGTAAATTGATTCCGTTCTTAAACTTGTGATTTGTCTGCTCCAGTGAATCTTTGCTTCCATATTTTATAATTCTTGTTCTTTACAAAAGAGGGTTGGGGGGGGGGGTCAAATAAAAGAATATTTTTTTCAAGTACATTGACTGCAGGCTTGCAAAACTAGACTTGCTTTTCTTGCACGTATACAACTGTTGAACAATGTCCTCATCAGGCCTATCAATGTATTGGTGTTATCCTAAGAAATATAATAAATACTTGTATTCACCCTTGGTTAATTTGTTCTCCATGCAACATTTATTTGCTGAGCTTAATTTTCATTTCTTGAGTAGGAGTTTGAGGAATCTAGGTTTTTAAAGATAATAGGCTGATTTTCTTGTTTCTGAACATTACATACAGTATGTTTTATAAACAGGTCTCCCATTGTTGCAAAATGTGATCGCCATCGTATTCTTTCTTCCTGGGCTTCATTCTGTGGTAATGTACCTCCTAAGGAGTTTCTGATTGACTTTGCAAGTGTAAGGCATCTTACTCCTCAGCAATTTGTGGAGAAGTTGTCTAAGGAGCTTGGTGTCAGTGGAGTTGTAGCAGGTTTTCTTGAAAAATCTTTCTCACTCTATGTATTGATTTGTGTATCTGGTATAATTTAATGATCTTATAAAGTTTTGTCATTGCAGGTGAAAATTATAGGTTTGGGTATAAAGCTGCTGGTGATGCATCTCAACTAGTGAGGTTATGTGACGAGTATGGAATACAGGCTTATATAATAAATTCTGTCATGGACCAAAATCAAGACATGGTTAATTCAGCCATATCAGACAAGAAGGAAAGAGGGCAAGTCTCATCCACACGTGTACGTTATGCTCTTAGCAAAGGAGACATAAGCTATGTTTCTGAGCTATTGGGTCGTCAGCATCGCCTCATATTATCAGCTGAAAAGAAGGATGAGTTTGTTGGCTCTAGAAATCGTCTTTCTGCACCTAAATCCTATTTATTAAATCTACCACCGAAAGAGGGCTTGTATCATAACTGCTCCCTTATAGTTGGTGATGAAAATCAGTTGTCATGTAGGGTTGTCATTGATTCAACACACATTCATCTAGAATCAGATGAAAAGGATATCTTTCTTCTTGAAGCTATCAACAATCATCACCTTTTTGGGATTGAGTTTTGTAGCTGAATAAATTTTGATGACTAGAGATTTGATGTATGTGCTAAAGAAGCTGAAGATGATACAAAGTCAATGGAACAGGTACTTCAGGTGAAAGAAACCTGACCTGCATTAGAATTACTCATCTCGATTTGTTCATCTCATGCTTTCCATATTTGATCCCAATCTAATTTTATCGAAAGTTTGAAAGATGCTACTATGGATACAATACGACATCTGGTACTAGTATGATTTGGTTCTTGGATAATTGTCCTTCAATTAGCAAGTTGGCATCAAACCTGCATTGATTCAAGACTGAAGGTTTACAGTAGTTATTGCTGCAGCATGCTAATTGAACAACATACTAGTCTCATTAGTCTTAATTGTTAGAATAGCTCTCAATTTTCTTATTTTATTATAATTTTTGAATTAGTTGCTGAGCACCCATGTAAATGTATTGCATTGATAGTCTATGTGCTACAGATCATATACTTGCTATGTTTTTTGGGTGCAAAAAGAGATTAAAAAAAAAAGGGGGCAATTACAGCCTTCTTCTGGAAAGCAAGGTTTATGTATTTATTTCTTGAAATTGACTTGGGAAAGGTGATGAAAAATATTCCTTGGAATATACTCCAATTACTCAATGACCAAAATTCGAGTCATGGGGATGCTATTCTCACCAGTACCATGCTTTTTTTCATGCAAAGAATATGTGGCTATGTTTTGCCCACAATTTTAAAGCTTGTCTTCTACTCGTAGGAGAGAAGTGATCTTGGTCTAAACCAACAACTTGGAATAGCTAATTACGATAGCGTAATGAAAAATAATACTTCCTCGGTTAACTTTAAGTTGCAATGTTTGTAATATTACACTATTCATATTTACTCATTTGTTAATTAATTCATAATATGTTGGGTAACAATTCATTTTTTTTATTTTTTTTTTTGAAACAAATCAATTCATTAATTTAACTTTATTATTTTTGTATTTAGGGTCTGTTCTCATCGGATTATTTTTAGTTTAGTTCAGATTAACTCAGCTCTAATAAATTTAGTTCAGTTCAGCTCAGCTCCTAATTACTTCTCTCATAAAATATTCAGTTCAGTTCATGTCTAATAAGTTCAGCTGCGTTCAATTTAGTTCAGTTCATTTCAGTCACAACAAACCTTTAGCTCCTTATTTACACTGTTTAAATTTATAATACTATTATTTTACTTTTTCGTGACTATCTATGATTATTGATTAAGGTAGAATAACTTCCTTAATTTTTACCACTAATTGAACAAAAGAGCAAAGACTTGTTTATTTTTATGTCTTGTTTATAAGAAGTAGCTTCAAAGTAAAATATTTTTTATTTTTTAACATAATAGCCGTAAAATAATTATACTCCGTATTTCCTTGATGGAATAAAGCATAGACCAAATTTCGTCACAAAAGAATATTCCCAATTTCCCATCAAGTGTCCCCAATTGTTTAGGAGGACTCGTTTAAAAACGTGAAAACATAATCAAGGATTCTATTCCACAAAATCGTAGTCAATTCTGAAAAAAGGCCCAAAATTGAATCCAATTTCCAAAGTTATTGCGCAAATTAAAGAGAGGCAGAAGAGCGTTACTCCCACGCGAACAGCCGCATTTTCCGGCACCACCCAACAATCCACCTTAAGCATTCCCATTCTCATTGCATTCTCTCTCCTCCTTCATTCTTTGTTTGAATTAATCTGAGGAGAGAGAAAACTTTCATACCCTTTTCTCATTTAAACTTCAGGTCACTTTTCTTTCTCTGTCTTAGTCTTTGATTCCTTGAAATTTTGCTTTTTTAGTGAATTAATTTGTTTAAAGTTTGATTTTAAAAAAAAATTGGATTAAAACCCATATAATTGGTTGCATCAAGTTTGAATTTTGGTGTCAAAGTTGAGAGATTTTTGTACTAATTGGTGTTCTGCTAATTGTTCAATTTTGGGTGTTTGTTGAATGTTTGAAGTATCTCAATCATGAATGTTTGTTTAAACTGCCTAATTTTGTTCTTAATTCACCATCATTACTATCAAATGTATCATGATTAGAATATGCTAGAATTTGAGGTTATTAGAATATGCTAGTATTTGAAGTTATTTGTTGAACAATTTTGTTATTCACCTCATTTTCTTATCTTTTGATTTATATGTATTTTTTTCATAGATTACCTGTCGGACAATCTATTACAAGAATTTGCCGGATATCATGAATATTGTTGTTATTGTTATTAATGAGTATTGTACAATCTTATCTCTATAACTTAACTGCCAACTACCAATAAATTATGGGAAATGGAGAAAACAATGAAGAAGAATAGAGGAAGAAAAAAAGGTTGTTGGTAGAGGTTATTATTTTATTAATGTCGCATTCAAAGTCTTTTTGTGAATGAATGTAACAAGTTGGTTGATTATTCACATGTGTACGCGTCATATTGTGATGTGTATGAGTGTTTGTGTAACATGACTCTTGCTTGTTTGATTACCCTTTTGATAAATTGGTTGTCTTTTGGAAATAGAATATGGTCCTCATGTAATGTCACCTAATAATGTTATTAGTTATCATATATGACTTGGATGGTTGGACCCAATTAGTCAAACATAATATACTTTATTGAGTTTTGAATTTTGATTATGATCTTTAATGTATGTTGTGGCATTTTAAGTGTGGGAATTATGGAGATAAACGTGTTTGTTTTTGTTCATGTGCCAGGAAGTAAGGCCTTTGACCGTGTTAAATCGTCTTCATATACTTGGGGTTGGCTTATATAAAGGTCGGGCTGTCAATATTGTTGACAGCCCGATTTTATTGAACTCAGTCAAAAAGTTCAGGTATTGATCAATATTGTGTGTATATATATATATGTCTTCATTTTCCTGTTTGTTTTTCTCTTATTAGTTGCTTTTCCTTTATTCTTGGAAGCAGGATTCCTTTCCAAGTCACTTCCAAGTCACTTATCAGAAATAATATTCTTTTCGTTTGGGCAAATACTTGTATGAAGGCTATTTGAATATTTGATATACTCTGAATTACTCATTGTGTTTAGGTGATCTCACTTTTTCTGGCTCTTATTCGTGGGTTGCTCTGTTTAGTGATCTGTGTGAGTTTCTACAAAATAGAGCTTGATATTGTTTTATGAGAGTTTTTGAACTTGCTGTGCATCATGGGTACCTTGTCCGGAAGCCTTCAACGACCTCTATTCACAGCTGCTGCTGTTGCCGTGGCATCTGTTTCAACTGATCTTCCGAACAAGTTAACGGATACCAAACAATCTGATCCTTCTGTTGCCTCAGAAACATTGGCTTCATCATCAGATTCATCACCCCATGACTCAGCTCACAGTTCAGGATTGTCATGGGTGTCTAACATTTCAGTTTCCAAGCTTGCAAGGTTGTCGTTTGTGACCAGAATCCGGGTGCCAGTGCCTAATATAAACTATCATCCAATACCAAATTCAAGCTGCAGTTTTGCTGGAAATTCAGTGGGTTCATCTCCCATTTTGGTTAACCTTTACCAGTCTGCTGAGTTAGCCAAGGCCTCGAAACCCAAAACATATTCTTATCCTAGTCCAAGCGTGCCATCCTCAGACTTGTACAGGTGGCATTTGCCTGAGCCTAGTACTGTTGATGTTGCTGGAAAGTCAGATTGCTCTTCTGCAAAATCTAGGACAGTGGTGGTTTTGCTGGGATGGTTGGGAGCAAAGCAGAAGCATTTGAGTAAATATGCAGAATGGTATACTTCAAAAGGCTTTCATGTAATCACCTTCACTTTTCCAATGTCTGAGGTTCTCAGCTACCAGGTTGGTGGGAAAGCTGAGCAGGATGTTGAGTTGCTTGTAAACCATCTTGCTGACTGGCTAGAAGAGGAGCATGGCAAGAACCTTGTTTTCCACACCTTCAGTAACACGGGTTGGTTAACGTAAGTCACCATCTCATTTTCTTGCTTACCTCGTTTATATTCTCAATTTGCTTGTTATTTTGCTAATTAGATGTTCTTATGTCACCTTAAATAGATACGGAGTTGCTCTGGAGAAGTTTCATAAGCAGGACCCTTCTTTAATAGGGAGAATTAAAGGCTGTATCGTGGATTCAGCTCCAGTTGCATCCCCAGATCCTCAGGTAATTATGCTGAAAATTTCTCTTTTTACATGTATGTATGGAAATCAAAATGTATATTTTTAGTTGCTTGGTGAGGGGAATTACTTATTTATATTCTACTTTGAATGTCAATGGCAATTATCAGCCTTTAGAATTACCGTGAGCCATTTTGTCACTCTACTTGTATGAGGATGTTTCTTCATGCCTTGAACATGGATTTTGGCCTACAAAGGAGAGTATTAACGCTCAAGTTTTTTAGGAGCTTCTGCACTTTTCTAATGACAACATTACTTATCTCCAAGCAGGTATGGGCTTCAGGTTTCTCTGCTGCTTTTCTGAAAAAGCAAAGTGTAGCAACAAAGGGGAGAACAGCCTCATGTGATTCGGATGAAGAGGATTCTGTTGTTGCGAGAAGTGTTAATGAGCTAAAACCTGCAGTGACTGAAACAGCTTTACTTGTATTCTTGGAGAAGTTCTTTAAAGTTGTATTGAACCTTCCTCCAGTGAATAGGTAATTACTATCCTTTTCTGGGTTTTACTTATTGACAGTTACAACTCCTTAAGAGCTACGACCACTGGTTGACACAAATCTGATTACTTGTCACTTAGTGATATTAATGAATAGAACATGTTTGATAACGTAATACCCAATCCATATATAGTTTTCTACAGAATGCTCGCTTCTCCTCAATGGACACATTCTACATTCTCATGATAATTTACAAAGTAACAATTTGTCCATTGATGTTTGATGCCTTACATTGATGTGTCTGCATTTCTACTTTACATTGAAGTGTCAAGTGCCCTTGCTTATATTTTTGATGCTTTGATGGAGTCGTAATTCTTATACTCTTGCTGTTCAATTTTTACAGGAGACTGACTGATGTTATGGGATTGCTGTCTTCTAAGCAGCCAAGCTGTCCGCAGCTATACATATACAGTTCTTCAGACAGGGTTATTCCTGCAAGTTCTGTGGAATCATTTATAGAGCAGCAGCGGAAATCTGGGCATGAGGTTAGATCGTGCAACTTCATCTCCACGCCTCATGTAGATCATTTCCGGAATGAACCACAATTGTATACATCTCAGCTAACAAAATTTTTGGAAGATTGTGTACTTAAGTGTTGCAAAGGATCTTTTTGAACAGATACCATTGATTCTTTATACAAACCTATTCAAGGTTATATGTGATAGATAGGATGATTTTTAACTGATCATTTTAAAAACTAGGGTAGTAACTAAGTAAGATTTGCCCTAAAGCCTCTTGTAACAAGTTATACAATTGTACAAAGCATTCAAAAGTTTTAGCCTCTAGTCGATGTTTTCATGCAGTTATTGTTGCACGCCGTATATCACCTCTACTGCTTTTCCGATCATACAGCAAATGCAGAATTGGTCTTATTTTGTTTAGTTTGTGCTCTTTGGTGCCTATAATATTGTCCGCTGTTTGGTCCAGAGCATAACAATCCTGTAATCAGCCATTCTTTATTGGTTATTGTGTTCACCAAGTCATTGTCGAAACTTGCTGTGTAATACAGAATTTTAACGCCAAGGACTAATCAAGAATGGAAGTGTATCTTGCCTCACCTTTCATGATTTAAAGCTCCGAGTGAACCCGAAATAGGCCATGGTCAGGTACAGCTGTATAGGCTTACAACTTGCTAACCCAAAATGGCTATTGTGTCTTAGATACTCTTTGCCCCCCCAAAAAATGGCATTAAGATATAAACATCAATCTAAACCATCAAATTATTGTCCCCTCATCGTACATCATTCCCTTAGTCATTCCGCGGTTCCTGTTTCCGTCTCTCCTCATGTAGCGTTGTTTATCTTCATCAGCCACCACTCCAAGCACCGGCATACACCATCCATCACGCCGAGCAGGTGGCAGATGGTGTAACAACAGCCCTTCTTAGAAAGAAAGTAAGAACTCAATTATGACCGGCCAAGTGGAAGTTACAACTACCTAAATTTGTTGTGTTGTCTATAATGAGTGGAACACCAAACAATGTAATGATTGGAATAATCTTTAAGTTGATGAATCATGATTGTTGAATTATGCAGACAAATGAGTAATGGCACTATATGACAACATATTTATTGTATGGTAGACGTGCAATAGTACTACTTTAAATGACCCATTTTTAAAGCAATAAAGATGAAGTAATATGTTGTAGACAAGTGATTGGCCAAAGAGAGATAATGGGTTGGAAGAAAATTTTCCTATGCATATGTATTGTTCTAGTTTGTAAGGAAATTTTAGTTGAAAGGACAATACAATTTCAGCTCAAGTTTCCTTGTAAAAATTTGGATGCAACCTATAAATGATTAAATACCATCAATTTTTTTTTTTTTTTTTTTTTTATATGATATTTTTGTATTCGCAAAAGTCTTCACTTAGAATCATCGATGACAATATTTTGGACTCAATTATTGTCAACAATAACATGAGATTGATAAAAATAAGTATTAAAAAGGTTTAACCTACAATAAATATTTATGAATTTAACACTAATATAGATTCTAGTATGAATGAATTTGAGATGAGTTTCTCAATTTTTGATATATTTTACTTAGGCTCATTCATTTAAAAAATTGTATAAGGAAATGAAAAGGAATAGACAAGCTAAGCTAAGTATTGACAATTTTGTCTTACAAATTAATATCTTCCTTGTAATAAATAAAAGTGTTTTTTAAAAAGATGTGATCCACAAATATTGGTCACGCAAAGTTGCAATCTCACTATGAAATTACATTGATATGTGACAGGGTAAAGTCGTATCCCCTAATAAAAAATAATTACCTAAATCACTACCTAGGGTAGATAGGGAAGTAGGGTCGATCTCCACATGGAAACAGGTCTTTTTAATTCTAATTAATTAATATAATCAAATTATCTAAGTAACCAATATTTTAAATGTGAATTCTATACTACGAAGAGTGAGTTTAGGGAGAAAAGAATCAATAATAAGGAAACCTAGGGTCACAGGTTCACCAATAATTAATATTCCGGGATAGAACGAAGTAATTAATAATTAACAATGCACGAATAACATGACTAACAGGCTCTCGCAATTTATTAATCAGCATAGATCTAACATGCTCTCGCAATTTATTAGACCTAACTTCCTAGTAAAAATAGCCTTTAATATTAAATCAACATCTGCTCGATTCATCAATTCAATATTGCTAAACATTCACAATCAAATTACATCTGCTCAATTCATAATCTAATTGCAAAGAATTGAAACAATTCAATAGGAAATTATCATGCAATATCAACAATCAATAATAACAAACTATCCCTTCATATTAATTATGGATCCCCATAAACCCTAGAATTAAACTACTCACTAATCATCATAATTAAACCAAACAAATAAATAAATAAGAACATGATCAAGAAAGCAATTAAAATAACTGAAATTAAAGAGGGAAGAAATTGTACCAAACTAAATCTGGAATTAATGAAGGAATTAAGAACAAGAGTTAGAGAGAATTTAAGAGAGAGAAAAATACTAAGTAGAGAGAGAAAGTCTAAGAGAGAGAAGGTAAGTAAATAATCCGTACAAAACGTATATATACTTCTCCTAAAACAAGAATTAACTAAACTAAATCAGACACTAGGAAAAACACGCGCCCGATCGGGCGAAGGGGCGCCCGATCGGGCCCGCCCGTTTTTCTATGCCTAGTCTAAAGTGTCGCGCCCGATCGGGCGCGCCTTTTCTTGATAGCCTTCATGCGCGCAGCCGCCCGATCGGGCGTATGCTTGCCCGATCGGGCCCAGTCTTCATCTTCAAGGCTTGGACTTCGATTGGGCTAGATTTCTCGGCCCAATCCATATTTCCTCTCGGGTCTCGAATACATGGTCCAATTGCCTCGTGATCCAAATAACCGAGCCCTTAATCACCGGCTTGATGGCTCTAGCCGGCCTTAGGCTCCAAAAGTGGTCGTAAGTTGTGTTCCTCCAATGCTCGTAGTCGCTTCATAAAAATCCCGGGAAAATGCTCCAAAGGTGCAATTCCCTGCAAAACTTAACCAAAACTACAAAAACACTAGAAAACACATATTAGTAATAAAAGTGGCCCTAAAGGGCCAAAAACACTACTAATTATGACCAAGGGACGGGGGTAAAACACTATATAAAATAGACATATCAATATGTTATTTCATTAAACATTAATCTACATCTACTTGTTAAATTAAAGTAATTTATCAAATAATTAATAGAACAATTACGGGTCTGTTCTCTTACGTTGAAATTCAGTTCAGTTCAGTTCAGCTTAGTTCAGTTCAGTTCAGTTCAGCTGAGTTAAATTAATGAGAACATGCCCTACATGGCTAGGCTAGGCTAGGCTAGGCAAGCATTTGTTGCATTAGAAACACACACTATTGAAGGTTTACATTGTTTGATGAGCTATCAACACATATAACACTTATACAAAGTAAGTAGTATTTCCTATAAATCTATAATGTACTTTAAAGTTAAGTGTAGGCGAATGTATTATTAGATATATCCGAGTATATGATAGACACGTTAACATTAAGTTATTACTACTTCGTGTATATATTTTTTGCAAGAAATAATTACTATATCCGTGTTTTATTATCTTAGAATGATTTATTATTGATGAGTATAACATATTACTACCTATTAATGTATTTTTGAAATTTCACCTATGTTAATTCGCGCCACATTTATAGACAGGGTAATAGAGCAGCAGACTATGTTGCTTCTTTGGGCCATTTATGCAAGCTCACCAAGATATTGATCTGTTTATAGATTGTAAATTTTCTTTATTTATTTATTATGATAATTTAAGGTATAGTCTTGAGAGAAGATAATCCTAACTTCTTGTTCACCTTTCATTTTTAAAAAATAATGTATTTCTTCCAAATAGAAGATTATAAGTCCTAATTTTAAGCTTTCTAATTAAAAGGTAAAAACTAAAAATATACCGGGTGAATGAGTCACGCACACCTCACGTGCACAACCAACAGTTGGAGTTGGGACTTCCGAGTTGGAGTATCTTATATTCTGTCGTCTTTCTTCCTCACTCTCTATCAACATTCAACAACCCATCATTTTCCGACTTCAATTGAGAAAAGGGAAAATTAGGAATTGAGATCAATCAAAATTAAAAAAATTAGGGTTTGCTTTTCAAACCCTAATAAACACCCTTCTTCTAATTTATTCCCCTTTCTCTCTCTCCCACCCTAATCGAAGAACCAATGTCAATGGCGGAGATGATGTCAAAGGAGAGAGAAACTCGGTACACCCACAACAATGGCGAATCAACAGCGTGCATTAACGAAGCCCTAAGAGACGATGAATTAAGAGCAATTCTTGCGAAATTAGAGTGCACTAAAGATAAAGAAGTGTTTGGATTAGTGTGCAAGAGATGGCTCCATCTTCAGAGCTCCGAGAGAAGGAAGCTCTGTGCGCGCGCTGGTCCCCACATGCTTCGTCGCTTGGCTTCGCGGTTTTTTGGGTTACTTGAGCTCGATCTGTCGCAGTCTTTGTCTCGGTCTTTTGGTATCACTGATTCTGATCTTTCTGTTGTTGCCGATGGATTCCCTTGTTTGCGCATTCTCCATTTGTGCAATTGTAAAGGTAATTTTATTTTATTTTATTTTTTATTTTTATTTTTTGTGTGTGTGTGTGAAAGATTGGAAATTTTGATGTTTTGTGTTGAGTTGTATATGGGTTTATGTGAAAGAGTTCAACTTGTTATCATTTTCTGTGGAAAATTGACAGGTTTTGGTGTTATTCGATTATTCAATAATCGTCTGTTTGGAATTTGAAAGGTGGGGTGGTATATATAAAGGGGTGTCTTGAGGAAATTTGATTAATTTTGTAACAAATTTGTTTTACTTTAGAGGAAATTTTGATGGTTGTTGATTGGGTTTGAGTTCAATGTGGTTTTATGTAGTCCTAGCTTGTTTATGAGCTTTTAAATGTTGAATGTTGAGATTGGAAATAAATTGGTGTTGTGTTTATTGTTATGTAATTGGAAGTTTCTTAGGTGAAGCTTTCACTGAAAGTATTTTCAACGATTTAGCTCATCCTGGATTTAAAAAAAAAAAGAAAAGAAAAAAAAGGAGTTTAGCTAATCAGCTAGTGATTTTGATCTTTGAATGACATGTTAGAAATTTTGTGTTTTGGAGTAATGAAGAATGAGCAAAAATAAGAAAGTGATGTGCAATAATAAGCCAAATTAATCAGGTGAAAAGAACTTATATTCACCCAAATTAATCTCTTAAGCACCACACCTTGCTTTAACATCATCGATTTCATAGTCCTTAAAACTTTAATGCTATTGGCTTTCTTCTTTGTACTATTATGGATTCTCTCCGATTAAAGTAGCTGCAAAATCCATAAATGATCTTTCGGTTCAATTTCTATGGCAGAATTGTCCTGAAATTCTTATTGCAAGTTTGCTACATGATTTGCAGGTATTACGGATGCTGGACTAGTGGCAATAGGAAGTAGTCTCCATTCTTTGCAATCTCTTGATCTATCACATTGCAAAAAAGTGACAGACAAGGGATTGTCTGCTGCGGCTAAGGGCTGCAATGACCTAAGATTCTTGCGCCTTGAGGGCTGCAGATTCATTACCGATACTGCACTAAAAGCTCTGTCTGAAAATTGTCGTAATTTAGAAGCGTTGGTCCTGCAAGGGTGCATGCGCATAACTGACTCTGGACTGACCATACTTGCCAGTGGATGTAGACAACTCAAGTATTTAGATTTGAACAAGTGCACCAATGTAGGAGATGCTGGGATCTCTAGTATTTCGGAAGCCTGTTATGCTTCTCTAAGGACTCTCAAGGTATGGGATTGCTATAAAGTTGGAGATGGTGCTATCTACAATTTGGCTAAGGTTTGCAAGAGTATAGAGACTCTAATTATTGGTGGTTGCCGGGACATAACTGACGAGTCTATTAAATCCTTGGTGCTCTCTTGTCATTACAGTCTTAAGAATTTGCGGATGGATTGGTGTTTAAGCATCACTGATTCTTCAGTGAGCTGCATTCTAATGAATTGCAAGAATTTGGAGGGGCTAGATGTGAGGTGTTGCGAAGAGCTGACCGATGGTGCTTTTAGTGGATTAGGCAGAGGAGATGACCATGCAGCAAATCTGAAGGTTTTGAAGCTTGGTAATTGTCCAAAGATCACGTTGTCTGGACTAGCCATAGTTCTAGATTCCTGCAAACTTTTAACATACCTTGATGTTTCTTCATGCCCACACATTACAAAAGCTGGTCTTGATGAGGCTGGACTTCAGATTCCCGAAACCTGTAAAGTGAATTTTAATGGAAGCTTGACAGAGCCGCTGGACATGTTGGTTTGAGCATGTTATAGTCTTTGGGCATACATTTGTGCATCCTTGTTCAGTGTTTTGGCATGTGGAATAAAAGGTAAGGGTTATGCTATCCTCTTCCCTTTCGCATGGTAGTGCGTGTTGGTGGCGTGCATCCTGTTATCTTGTTTCTCTAGTTATTTTTTCTGCTGCAGAATTCTGTGTATAGTTTGGTGTAGAAAATGTATTATAGTATCTTTGTAGCATTGTTTGTTGGACTTCATGGCAATAATTATATGAATCTGTTATGTACTCTTGTAATTTAGGGTTGGATCTTGTATACATATATTATAACACATTTCTGAGTCTTCCATCGTTTTGCCTGGCATTTATCTGTCAAATGATATTTTTCATTGAACCAAACGGAGCCATAGTTGTTTACTTGTCTTTAGTAGCCAATAGGTCCTCTTTCCTCTAGGAGGGCATTTCTCATCGTCTAATTTAAGTAGACATGACAAAATTGACCATACTTGACCTGAACTTAAATTGTACTTGTATATGAAATCTCATAATATGATTTTGAACTGTTAAGAAATTGACTTGAAACGACCAGTTAAGGCATCACTAGAATATGACCCGAACTGAACGATTATTTGATTGGAGTACTGCTTGTTACTATTAGGACTTAGGAGTATCGGCTAATATAGAGTTCTACATTGCTCAAGCCCTGATTAATAATACTTGATTACTGTAACAACAGTCATGTATTGCTATAAACAGAAACGTTTTGAACATCATTTATTTATGTTATCTTTGTATTATGGAAGTAAAGATAGCAACAACCAAACAAGATTAAAAAAAACTTGAAACTTACAGTCCTAACTAAACTAGAGAGTATATTAGAGTACAACCGTTGGACCTGTAGGTGGGATTATATCAGGCTTTGGTGTTGATGGCGGTGGGTCTATTTCCGGTACGTTAGGCGGAACAACATCAGGCGGCTGACGAGGTGGAACCTCCGGTGGTGGGAATATATCAGGTCCAGGAGGGGAAGGGATGGGCGTGTGCGGAATCTCTGGTCCTGGTGGATTCGGTGTGGGATCAGGCGTTGGTATATGCGGTTTAATCTCTGGTTCAGGTGCAATGATGAACTCGTTGGGTTCAGACGGGGTTGGAGGCATCTCAACCGGTGTAGGCAGGTTAACTTCTTGAGTGCGCCTTGTAGGGAACTCAGGCGGTGTCGTGGACGTGGACATGGACGAGGCGGCTAAAGGCCTAGGAGTAATGGTAAGGTGATTGTAAGGAGAATGAGGAGTTATGATTAATTTGTTAGGAGCATAAAGTGGTATTGATTTCTTCAAAAGATTGAACAAAGGAGATGAAGAAAAGCAGCTTGTCATATCTTCAGATTTTGGTATGTTTTGGACTAAAACTAGAACAAGGATATGTTCAAACTAAACTTCACTATAAAAATTCTGTTTGCTTGGATTTCATGTTAATGACACCTGTAGTTATACGTGTTACATTTGACACGTGGACTTCATTGGTTTAATCACAGCAATTTATTTTTTTATTTTTTATTTATGGGAACTTCATGGGCTTATGCCGTACTCATTTATGGACCAACCCACTAAATTAATGAATTTATATCTGGTTCAGCTTGTAAGTTGTAAACAATCCGACCAGAATTGAAGTGACCGCTAGCTACATTTGATTTGAACATACACATTGATCTATCGAATAGCATGGCCAAATTCGATATGATCACAAACATTATGTTTTAACCTGAATCTAACCAGTCCGCCACACCCGTTTTAACAGCTCAATTTTCACATCTTTGCCGAGGTAAATGAACTACAATTTATGACTTGTTTGATTCACCTTATTTTTATGGCTTCATTTTTTTAATTTTTAATATCATTTCTTTTTTCTAGAAATTAAGTTTTGCAATTATTTTAATAATAACCCAATAAAATAGATTAGCAATACTAATAATCATGAGAAGGTTTTGCGTAAGACCATTTCATGTGAGTCTAGTTTATAATGCACACACCCATCCCCCGAAATTTGCATAGTACACCAGGGTGTACCATGTTCACGGTACCTGTAAAAACTAAAGACATTTTTCAATTTAGATTTTTTTTTCTTTAACATGATTCTTCCTTAATTTAAGGGATTGGTTAGTTATTCCCTATATTAATAGTTTTCAAAAATAAATTTGATATTTTTGGAGATATATAATTACAATTTCGAAATACGGAGAGAATTTCTAGAGAGAGAATTTTTAGCATAGAAAATTAATGGTGGGGTGTAAGAAATTCGACATGATTACATTACAGATTTGTTGATAATACGTATGAGAATGAAGATTCGGTTAATAATGAAGATGAATATGAGGATTTCATAATCAAATGTGAAGGTTTTTTTTTTTCTTAGGTTTTTTCGTATTAAAATTTATAATTATAATTACGATGTTGATGCTAATGATAATGTTCTTTTAAATTATTAAATTTCATAATTTGTACATTTCGTAATCAAAGGAAATTGTTTTTTTTTATTATTTTTTTTATACTGTTTTTGTACTATTTTAAAAGGTTGAAGATGATGTTCTTCTGATTATGATGAATGTTCCTTTATCATGCATCAATTTGTTAATTGTAATGGAATATGCTCTTTAAGCCGATTAATATATTCTTTGGGTGTAAACTATATGTTCTTTACATTACAAATTATGTTCTTTAAGGTATAATGTTCTTTGTGTTTCAATAATATGAACTATATATTTTTTTACTTGAATAATATGTTCTTCTATTTTCATGTTCGTTTGTTTTAACTCTTATGTTCTTTTGGCTATTGAGTGATATAACACATATTATTTAAAAATGAGTTTTTACATCATTTTTAATTATTAAACTATTCATCTTGAATATTAATTTTTAAATTTATATTTTTATATGTTAATAACATTAAATAATTGTGTACATTTTTTTTTTCAGGATCACGATGGTTGATGGAGATATTTTCAGATCCAAAGAACATCCATAACATTTATAAAGAATATGATTATATTATATAATAAGCACTACTTAAATTTAAATAATAAAATTTAACAAGAATGGTCCAAACAAAAATTTAATAAACATTTTCATAATAAGCCATGAATATTACATGACAATAAATGTACATCACAATTATACTTAGAGAACATGGACATTTAAAATATTTTATCAAAAGGTCTAATTTCCCCTGTTTCAAAAGCTAATGGAACTCTGTAAATCGCTACCATATTACTCCCAGTTTTCATTTTCGATCATTCATCTTATGTCTGATGTACGCTTGGCCCTTGTTGCTCCTAGTAGCAATGGTTCTTTGTGTTGCGATAAGTTTGCAGGAAATGATGACAGTAAAGAGAATTGTCTGAGCATTGATCATCGAGGTCTTTCGATGCTGATGCAAAGCTCAGATTGAGATCTCGCCATTTTCATGGAGGAGAGAGAAATTGTGAGTTGAGGAGAGAGATGGTGGGTTGTTGATGAGGAGAGTGAAAGAGAGGAAGAAAAGAGGGGTTTTAATACCTAACCATTATAATCTAATTTATGATATATTTAACCTATTTATGATATATTTAACCTATTTTCTAATATATAGATCATTACTTACACTGTGTTTATTTTGGGATACTTCAAAATTTTATGTAATGTTTTGTTTTTACATGCAGATCAAATTCAATTAGAGAATTTAATTCGAGCAAAAATGATTGGAAAATCAAAGTACGGGTTTCTCGTCTGTTTGACATACTAAACTTTCGCTAACCAAGACAGCTTAATAAGTTTCGATATGATCCTATTGGACGATGAGTTATTTCTTATAAAATATTTACCTCTATTAATTTTTTTTTTGAAACCTCTATTAATTTGCGAGTTATAATCAAGTTGGGTCATTTCCAAGTGGGGTCATTTAAGGTTGTCTAAATAGCATTTAAGGTGATTTGAAATCGGGTCAGGAACAATTTGGGTTGAATTTAGGTCGGGTCAATAACAAGTCGTGTTAATTTTGAGTCGAGTTAGTAGCATATTAGGTTGAATTTTTGGGTTGGGTAATGTAGGCGTCGCTCGAAGTGCGCCTACGTTATAGTGTGTGTGAATATGCTTGGCAATCATAGGAAGTGGGAATTGACATTACAGTTAGGGATTAGGAAAGTAGGGAGCTGCCAACAAGTTTTTAAGGAACTTGTAAACCGTTCACGGATCATAAAAGGCAACCACGATAAAGGGACAACGATAGGCAACAACGATTGACCCGTGAAGGTTACACCCCATTCATAATCCATGAGATTACTAACTCCATATGGTTTGGAACCACGAAAGGAGGATCGGGGATGATGGTACAAAGTGAGTCATGGAGTCACATTCGCCCGTATTGGCCTCTACTCGATTCTTATAGTGAAAAGTGATTCCTGCGATCTCAAGTCGTACAAAAAAAATTCAATTTGCTCCAAACTATTATTAAGCTAAATTGGTTTAATATTAATGCAACACATAATTCTAAAATATTAGTGATCACTTGAATTAATAATAAGATTAAAAAGGAACCTAAACCGGTTGTCCAAATTATCTTATTAGGCGTGATTTTCAATTACATATTCCTTTTAAACATGCTATATGGTGATCAATAAATATAATAGAATTCTCTTTAATATTGGAAGCAATTTGACAATAATAATGTGAGTCAAATCAAATATAAAATAACCTAATCATGATACTAGGAAAATTAAAATAAAATAAGAGTAATTAAATTAATTAATTACTCACATTCCGCGCGTTCCTTTAAATTGCTACATCATGAATAAACTGTTAGTAACTTCAATAAAAATATAAATCAAATTAAAACAATTAAATTAAATAAAAGTAGAGATGATTTGGTCCACTCAGTCAATTATACCTTTCACGCTTTGGCTTAAGGACAGAACCACGAATAAAGTACGGACTCATTGGAGTGCTTGAAGAAGGAATTTTGAAAGAAGGAGGGTAGGATGGTGTTTAGGCTAGAGCATAGAGGAGAGAAAAATAGAGAATTAATTCATGCCCCGTACATCAGAAATGAAGGGGTATTAATAGAAAAAATGTGCTGAGGGAACACACGGAAACCTAAAAAGATAAAAACCCTAAAAAATTATACCACGACACGGCAAAGTGTACCGTAACACGGGAAACCCCACCGTCAGACGGGGGACATTCCCGTGACACGGTATACAGCTGTGTGACGCGGGAAATATTTAGTAAACAGGGAAGAAAACGTGTTAAGAGTTTACGCGGAAAGGACACGAAAACTCCCGTGTCACAGCAGGTGCCCCGTGTCACGGGGAATCCCACCGTCAGACGGGACAGTTTCTCGTGACACGGTGGACTACTGCCGTGACGCGGGAGTTTTTAGTCCGTTTTTCCATCTAAATTCATTTTTAACCCTAATTTCGTTCAGCATTTTAAGTGTCGATTGATAATTTTCAGGCCATTTCTGATTTATTATTATTTGGGCTAAAATAAGAAAATAAGTAAATAAAATAAATAATAGGTTTGGGCCAAAATAAACAATAAAATAAAGAAAGGTTTGGGCTAAAATTAAAACTATGCTTTGACTAAACATCAAGACTGATCCATGGACGATTTTTTTAAGCTCTCTCGGGATTAAATACTGAACCCGACCAATAGTGGCGGTGAAAGGTTGTTCATCATCGGGTTTGGTTTTAGGGAGACATTTTTAGGTGTCTACAGGTAAATAATAGGTAAGTTAAAATTCGATTCAGGTCAATAACAAGTCGGGTTAAATTTGGGTCAGGTTAATAATAAGTCGAGTTAATTTTGGGTCAGGTTTGTAACAGGTTGGGTTAAATTCAAGTCGGGTTAGGAACGAGTCGAGTTGAATTCAGGTCAGGTTAGTAACAAGTCTGGTTAAATTCGGGTTTTGATGGGTTAAAACGGGTTTGGATTAAATTCAGTTCAAGTAGGTTTCGGTGCAAGTTAATTAAACTGACCGTTGTAAATCGGTAAATCGGTGCAAGTTGTAAGCCGATAAATTGGTTGTTTAAAAGCAAATTGAATGGTTCTACACACTCAATTGGAATCCCGGTTGGTATAAGGGACCATTGTAAACATCTCGGCAATTTTTATTTTCGGGCGAAAAAAAAGTCAAAAAATTTCAAAATTGAAGGCTAATATCCACGTTTTTTGACAAATTTTGGAGGTTTTGGGGCCCGGTGTTGAAAAATCTAAAAATTCTATGGGATACATCTCGAGGTCATATAATTCTGTTTGGAACCATATATGATCATTATTTGTTGTCATAAATGTTCGTGGTAGGCTTGAATGTGAAATTGATGCAAGTTGTAAACCGGTAAATTGGT